TCTCCTTCTACACACTCTTTTTTATTTTCTTGAGCTGAAACTTACTGATGGAATTACTACATTTAATCTGAATCCTTAATCAAGAAATCAAGAGCTTAAGAAATATCAACTTCAAACAAATATCAACAAGCATTCCCACCTGTTTCAATGAAACGCTTTCTGCAAGCCATATTTATCTGGAAAAGAAAACCCCACTAATATTTGTCTATGGATTTGAAAAAACTTCAGAGAAGGATGATTTTTCACATGATATCTGCTAGAGCTCATGATTTCTGATCCAATAAATTAGAAGAAAAGCATTCAAGTCATTAAACTGGCCATACTTTTAATTCCCAACCAATACGCTGCTACAGGGCTCTTTCATTAAACATTATGCCTGAAGAAGGCTTTTAGAAATAACAATTGTTTTAGGAAGTACATATCCCTTGTTGCAGCACTGAAAATAGAAAGAAAAGAAAAAGTAAAAAAAAAAGGAACTGGAACCATATGAACAGAACTCTGTTGAAAAACGGATACCAGTAACTAAACCAATCACGTGACTGTCCTTGTAGAAAGAGGGAAAAAAAAATCCCTGCAGTATTTAGATCATCTTCAAATTTTCATAATTTCCTAAGGCTATGCTTGTAGCAGAGCTGACTTACACTGCTGGGTAAGCCTGCATCGTTTTGGAAGAATGCTAACCTTTTTAAAAGAGAAAAAAACAAAATACGATAGCTTTGTGTGGAGTCCACATTAAACTAGACACAAAAATAGCATCTCTCACTGCTTCCTTAGAGAGAGACAAAGCAGTCTTTTACAAAGCTGAATCACACACTAGGAAACTGATATGACTGGTTTCTCTCTGTTACACATTTACTTTAGTTTTGTTTTGTTTCAAATAACTGCCAAAGACAAGCCAATGTTTATTCATATTTTTTCCCTTTTAAAACAAGTTCTCCTGAGGCATTGAACAGCACAAAAAAGAAGGTTCACAATGATTCGTAAGTGCTGAACAGCATTCCCCAAAGGGTGACCAAGGACATTCCATTGTTTTATATCCATCTTCTGCTTTTCAGTCATTATTCACTGTTCTCCCTTTCATCTGTAATGTAGAAGTTAGAAGACAGTCTGATAGACTGAGACAGACTACAGACAAACACTACTTCATGTACAAGCCACCCATATTGCACTTCCTATGACCTTAACCAAGCTCAAAATTGGCCAGTAGGTTGGTCAAACTCACACACCCACATAGTCCTTGACTGTCCCTCAGCACTGAGTAGTGATTAAAGGACTAAGTGAGATTATCAAATTTTTCCCTTTGAGGCAGAAAAGATGAATTGTTTCCTATATTTAGATGGGGAAAAAAAACCCAGAAACCAAAGTAGGTATTGAAAAGAAGCTGTTCTAACTTCTTGCCACTGGGCAGACACACATCACAACACACCAGGTACTGCTTTTACCTCCAAAGGAGTATGTCTCTTGCTTGTGAAAACATTCTTTTGTTTTGCATTCCAGATTAAATATTAGTGTCTAAAGACCATTCAAAATGTCAGAAGCAGAAGTTATTAAAAGCAAGCACTATGATTTTGAGATTAAAAAATATTTACATCCTTGTTAAATTAAAGTTATGCCAGTATCATGAATTTAGTATGTAAAACTGTTAACTCACACATTTAGAGATAATACTATGCCAAATAGAAAATTACATCTCAACCCTAACATCTGCATTAGGGAATAATTTCATGTGATTGAATTCATTTCTGTCACTTGCCTCATTCCGTGAAACAGCAAAGTGTAAACCAACACTAAAACACCACACAGTGCTAGAAAGAGAATTTTCTGCTACTTTTACTTCAAAACTACTACTCAGCCACCATTGGGTCATGCCGATACCCCATCCAGTATCGTGTAAAGTAACCGCATAAATCATCTTCCACACTAACTTTTAAATGCAATATATCAAGTTAATAATTTTTCATTAAAACCTTGCATGCAAAACCACAACAATATAAAACTGTTATCATGAAACAGCACTTCATTTTTATTATTTGTTTACCAGCCTCCTAATCGACACTGTACAGTGACAGCCATTACATAGATACTATGTATCAGTAATAATATGGCTGAAAAATTACCCTCTTTGCCTACAGCTTTCTGATCAAGTTGGATAGCTTTCAAAAAAAAAAAAAACACTACTCTGAAGTCTCCACATAAGATCCCTAAACAAATACCTCAGAGGCCTTATTTATTGGAATGAGTTTTCAAATGGTAAAGTCTCTGCATATTATCTTCAGTGTTGTTTTGGTACAAGTAAGGGTCACAAAGTCTTTCTGAAAAGGGCCATATGGCCTTCAAGGGCTGACCAATATTTCGTTTTTTTAATAAAACAGCTTATAGAAACAGCAGCTGTATTTGTTCTAACCTAATTTAATACCATATTTAATATCATATGGGATAAGCAATGAATCCAATGAACTGCTTTTCAAGGCTTGAAGATGAAAGCTTCTATACTGAGTCAAGCTTAAAAGCAACCTACTCTGAATACTATACTTTCATATATTTCATGGAACTTTCCTAACTGCTTTCAGTTCACTTTACCCTATCCCGTCATTGCAGAAACAGAAATAAACATTATAAATTCTCATCACAGCAATAAAATAAATCTGTGCTAACTACATCACTGGTAGTTCTACAGAGTTTTTACAGAAGTGGACCTTGGACAGTCTGCTTGATCACAGGAGCGAGACAATATGGTACCTTATGGTAATCCTCAGAGGTATGGAAAACAAAGTACTAAATGGATATAAGGTTATTTTGCTGGATCAAAGTTGTTGAGAATATTTTTGAATAGGCAATACTGATAGCCATAAATTCTGGTGGAACAGCCATTATGCCCCTGCATTCTTTCACAACCGGACTGCTCTCAACTAACCTCTAACTCTTCTCATTTCTACCTTTCTCACCATAAATTCTTCAGGGTCATGTATCCAACTGTTGCTGCCTCATTTACAACTGGAGGACGGTCCACATCCTTCTTTCAATTAACTACTCACTAAATTCTTACTTTTAATTTTCTATTAATTGTATTGACTACCATCCCTTAAATATAAAAAGCTGTGAGAGACCTACAGGCCTCTCTTTCCTTATTGTTGGTCACTTCAAATGACTTACACGTATAACAGCTTATGACTCACACTGAACAACAGTGTAGTTCCACTGATCCCCATTCATACCAATGGATAGTATTATGCTGTCCAAACCCTATTTACCGGTAAGATTCTGTAACTACAAAAATGTTTTTAAAAATGGAGAAATTTTAATAAAGCCATGTGAAGTCTCCTAAAGCAGATCAATAGTTCATCTCACCAAAATGATCACTCAACCAGGAAATATAATTGAGTCTATGAAGGATGAGCCAATTACAGTACAAGTACACTTCCACAAACATGCATGGATTCACTGCCTTGCCTACTGTTACAAACAAACAAACTTTGTGTTAACACAAAAAAAAGGAAAGCAAATATATTGAGTCCTAAATTAAGCATTTGCTAATTAAGTTTGATAATCTGATATCAAATCCATACATATGCAACAGCTATTGGCACACAGTAACTGATTTTGTCTGAAGTTTTTAAAAATTCGCATATGGCAGTGCTAAATATGAAATTTAACTTAAAGATTTTAATAAACTTCAAATACTTTGTTTCTCTGCCAACAAGCTTACTGAAGGTAGATGTTTTCTTTTAACACAGTTCTTCCTTACTGCTTATTCTATTTTCTTGTCAATAGCAATTGCAATGCTACTTGCAATGTTACCTGCAAAGTGCCTAAAACGAAGGGGATTGATTTGATCTGCATTATTGGACAGCTTATGCAATTTGGGGCTACACAACAAAAAACAGTAAAGTGTGATTTGCCAGGCTACTTCGTTCTATGCTTCCAAAGAAACACAAAATTTCACATCAAACATCATGAGACCAAGTGTAACCATGCAATGCCTTTTTATAATGCATAGGGAACAGGCTGAAAAGAGTTGTACCTCAGTTTTTCAAAGGTAAATATTAAAGTTTTCTCAGGAAAAAAAATAAACATGTCTCATCCTATTTTGAAAACTGTTTTCCTTTCCATCTGTTGTAGGTGCATACTTTAAATATATATATTTCAAATCAGCATGAATTCTGAGAATTTTGCTGAAATTCTAAATTTCATGCCAGAATTAATAAACTGGGTAAAATCCCATCTAGACAACTACTAAAAGGCACATAATACTCTTTCCAATAAACTTCAGGATCTGAATTCCATGAGTATAAACGGAAGAAAGCACACAAGCCACTCTGAACTATTAAAAAAAATTGGTATTAGATATTGCTGTGACATATTTTATCATTCAGTAGTGTTGGTCTGCTGGGGATTTCTACCTTAAGTAATGTCAAGGCACTTAAATCAGTATTATATAAGATGTCCAGAGCTAACAGAGCTCCATCAACATGGTGTTCTGAGAATAATAGTAGCCAATATAACGTTCTGCCATGGCTAAGCATGTCTACGACTCTTTGGGGGAAAATCAACACATGAGAGTTTACTTTCAGCAGTTGAAACCAGGCTGTATAAGAGTCCCTAAATGCCCAAATCCATCTTCACTGCAATAAATAGTTCTGGTTACTCCATTCTTGTAAAAGAATTTGGGCTAACCGAGTGGGAGGAAAGAGCAACCATACTATGACATGCAAGGAAAAATTAGACTGTCAGCACAGAGTGACTCAATTACCAGTAGCTTTGTCAGCAGCAGTTGATTTAATTTGAACTTCAGCATTCCTGCAGCATCATTAATTAATCCACAAAACTGGAATTTCAAAGAAGTTACAAGGACTGCCCAACTAATTCTATGCTTACAGCATTGTTTAACTCAAATTAGAGATTTCTGTGTAGAAACAGGAGCAAGAGTGCAGTGATGGTCAGCTTTAAAAGACAAGCATTCGCAACAGTTCATGTAAAAGGAAAATAGTTTCATCTCTTACCTATCAGACCTTTCTCAAGAGTAAAGGATTTGTTCGTGAACATGCATTCAAATGCCACAATATGGAAAACTTTGTTCACTGTGTTGTGGGTCCCAACAATTCGAATATACCTACAGGGAAAAAAAAAAAAAAGGTAAATAGCACAAGTTAAACATGATAAACTTCTGTGCACTAAAATGTAACTGATTCAGTTGGACTAAAATGTGCAGACCTATAGGAACTGAGTAACTGTTTAAAAAAAGAAAAGGAGTAAAAAGACTAAAAATTTCACAGCAAGTTTGCATTTAATCGAGATGCTGGTTACACTACAATTTAAGAAAAAAAAAATCTTTAAAGAGATGTGAAATCTGTTAAAAATCTTTCTGGATTAATTTGCCAAGAAAAGTAAAGTGAGGGACCTTCTGCTTCAGAAATGGTCTGTTAGTGCATATGTGTGCTCACGGAGGCTTCAAATAATAATAATAAAAATAATAATCCTTTCACCAACAAATTTTCAGCATTGTGAAAGATTTCATACAGCCAGGACAAACACAGCAAATCAGTCAGGCTTTTCTTCAGCAGCCAAAAATTAATTCCATTTTATTATGACTGTTTCTAATTCTAACACTCGGTATAGGATATCAATCTCTTTGTTGGTGTATCTTTTATTAATAATAATAAAAAAAAATTCCTGAACATTCAAACATTATGAAACAAAACTAACTCTGGGTTTCACTCCTAGTTGTATAACTTACACTTCTACACTCTAATTGCAAATCGAATAGAGCTGCTCTTGAACACTGTGACCTACTCACCTGCTGTATTACCCTAAAGGCTTCACCTTCCATGAGCAACCATTAACCTCAATTCAGTCCAATTCTGCATTTTCTGAAGAGACTCAACAGTTCTTACTATACTTTTTGAAAAATCTTAAAAGGAATATTGTACGCCATCTCAATAAATGCTGAGCAAGCAACACAGAAAACTACCTGAACCAAATACCACTACCCCACAAAATGGGTTACCCACACCGCAGAAAACTTTTTATGGAATTAACTCATTTCAATGAGTATCAGAATGTATGAATCTTAACCAATATCCTCGGTCTGTGGTATAAAGCAATCTTTCACTTACGTACTATAATTATATTTCCAACATCATGGCCATTCCCCAACAGCATCATTTTTGCTTGTGTTTCTCAATAGATCAATTTGAATCTGTATCAAGACATTTTTCAGTCCTGTGATTTTTTTTTTTAAACAATAAAGCAACCCTCATAGCTATTTAGTGTACTAATGTTCAACCTCCAAATTTCATTTAGAAATTTTAATTATCATGACTTCTAACAAAAAGAATTAAATGCTATTCCCTAATTAATATTAACTCATGGATCAATTAATTATCACAGTAGCAAATCTCCCGAAAATTATTCTATGTAGAAAACATAAAGTAGCAAAATTGAAGAAAATATTTATTATTCATAAAGAAGTTGAACCTACGTCTTAAGAGTAAAGCAGAATTTAGCCCTTATTACATAACTGTGCCAAGCGCCTGCAAAGACCATCACAGGAATCTTGGTTGACGGTCAGGGAAACAGCAGTTCTTTCCCCAGACCTGCCCATGTGAACCAGATTACTTTCTTTTGTCAATTCACAAGCACAGGTAACCCTAATGAACCCTAAACACACAGGTAATGTCCAGGATTTGACAAGAGTAACTGTTCTTGTTCTCTCCAGCCTCAGAAGCACAAAATTCAATTAAATACAGGAAAAATCTTGGAATATTTTTAAGTGTACATGGAGGTTGGCTTGCCACAGAGACTCCCTCGTCTCTCTCAGGCAAGAAGGGTATTGACTGAGTTGTGCTGCTTGGACAAAACCCACTCCCGGCTAACCAACAGAGCATTACTAATGGAGAGATACTTTGACATCCTTCAGTTATGCTTCCTTGCTTTAAAGAGTTTAGAGAATAAACAAAGTAACAATATTAATAGGAACACAAGAAACTGCTTCATAATTAGCTTTAAAACTGATTTTTTTGGATTTTTCGTGTTATGAAATTGTAATACTAGAGCAAACTTCTTGATTGTTTTTTTCAGTAAGATCAGAAATTGTTCAAATTCCTGTCAGCAGCAAAGCAGGCTTATAAAACACAAGGTTATCTATGAATCTGTGTGTGATTGCAGAATCACAATCCAATGGCTGGACTAGCTCCACTGTTAATGGACTTTAGACTCAACTGCTAAGACTGAAGGGAAGACAGAAAAAAAAACCTCTGAATCATTCTTTAAAGAGAAAACCTTGATCAGTTCATAGTGTTTAAAAGTACTTCCCTGGCAGGTGAACAGAAACGCAGCATGATAATTTTGCCCCTTTATTTTATTTTCTGGCCCTGTTTGAGAATAACGGATACTGAAAGTATAAATGCTATAAGAGTTTCACCCACATGTCACAGATTTCTCTGGCCACAGCTAGTCATGCTACACATGGTCCTAAAATTCCCAGAATGGGAATACTAAAATAATCTGGTTGGGTTTGGGTTTTTTTTCCCGCACTTACAAGAAAATTGTTTTAACTAGAGGGAAAACAATATGTTCTACTGGAGCTTGGTAGAATTTTAAACTTCTAAAATTTGAATGGACTCCCTGGGTTGATTAATTAGGCACCCACATGGCAATGGCCCTCATCTATCTCCCATTTTTCCCAGAGCAATTCTTCACATTTACACAAAACTATGACATGTGTACTCTGTTGTGGCCACAAATACTCATGTTTCTGAACAACTAAATTATGTTTTACTTCTGCTCTTTACATTTGTACAGCTGACACATTTAATTCAGATAACATCTGCTGCAGAGCATACCACTGATTCAGCTGTGGATACCCTGGAGGACTACCAATACCAAAGCTCATCTGCCTACATCAGAACAGTGCTTAGGACATATGTGTCAAAATACAAAAATATGCATACTCTAGAGGTCATTTTAATGCTTCATTATAATAACACCAGTAAGATACAGACAAACTCTAAAATATATTAAGCACAGATTCCAATCTGTTGAGAATATTGAGACAGAAGACTAAATAAGGAGAGATAATGGAAACTAACCGGTATTTTGCACTGATACCCATTCTAAGTTACTATAAAAGCAACCTAAGAACAGCAACAGCAAACTCAAAGAACTAAATCAAACAGGTAAAAAATGTGCTCTTATGAACTTGGCATTCCATTTTCCTTCATGGAGCACTTGGTATGAGACACCAGTGCTAGTCCTACATACTTTATATCTCCCCTAACTGCTTAAAAACCACTAACATTCACATTCCAGTCACTGCCACAAAGATGCATGAGGTACAGCCTAACACACAAGGGCATTTGAAGATATTCTGTTTGTCTTTTAGTGGAAAAGGAAACAGTGCTATTCAACACCATCTAAACTCCATTTATTGACAACTCCCTAAAACGTATAATCCTTCAGGCTCACACAGCTGAATCAACAGTCCCATGGCAGGAGGACAGAAAAAACAAGGAGGAAAAAAATCTATTGCCAGCATTAAATCATGTGGCAAAACAGTGAACGTAAATAAATACATAAAATAAGGAATTAAGCCAGAACAAACTTGAAAAGCATATCTGTCTTTTGACAGAAGACAAGTTTTCCCACTCTTAGACAGGAAAGTCTAGTAAAGTCTATAGCATAACAAAGGAAATCTCTGCTGCAAATATTGAAAGTAAGAGTGACAAACCAAACAAAAAACTTACACAAGACAAAATCATTGAACTCTAGCAGCAAAAGTACATGTAACGCCTGCAAAGCCTGTACAGTAACAAACATTTTCACCTTTGCAATTAATGCAAATACAGCCAACAGGGTAGCAGCCTGAAAACACATTTCTCTTTGTAATGTGCTAAAACGTGCTTCCAGATATTTCATGGTGGAGCATTCAAGTGCCTAAAAATATTGGTATGCAATACTTAGACAGCACATGTAATTGCTTGTGTACTGTACATAAGCAGTATATCAACCAAGCATCCAATGTTTCTCAACATATTTAACCAAATTAACACTGATGTGCTTCGGAACATAAGTGAGACTTGCACAGTCTGATATTTTGTATTCCACAGGTAAGAATAATGAGCTTACAAATGTTTTGTTTTTCATTACTGGTTTCCAATTTTTATTTTTTTACAACAAAAAACCCAAATTCAGATAAACTTGCATGAATCTCCATCTTCACATTGCACGCGTCTCTAGTTCCACTAAAGTTGTCAAATCTGAACTTGGCTTGCCTGGTTTTGTTTCAGGTCAGACCTCAACCCAAAGTAGCTCTATTTCCTAGAACTCACCTACATATGGGCAGAAATCTGCAATTACATCTGATCTCATAACGGACATGAATAAAAAACAAGGTAGAAGAAGATAGTAAGACTTCGATGTAAAGAATTCTGTATTTAAACCCTACCCTTGATTCGACTTTGCAGCCAAACACAAATATCACCTTCATTTATCTTTATGCTATCTTTGTTGAATACATAAAATGGGACTCTAATAAATCCAGTTTTACAGAAAAAAAGTAGTTCTTACAAACAGAGAAGAAAGCATTGTTCCTCAGAAGGTCTGGTTCTAGCCCAAACTGGTTACAGGATTTAGAGAGCAGACACAAGCTGGCTCTGCTTACCTTCCAGGCTGGTGTGACATGGAGACAGATTCTTTCCAAAATACAGATAATCTTCAACAGGATTAGTTTTCTTTGAATCATCCTATGTTCTGATGTAGTTTCATGACTTTGGGTCAATTTAGCTTAGGTTTCAATATATAGATACATTACAGCCTCCACATTTTTAAACATATTGAAGAAACAGAAGAAAATACAGGATAGTCCTGCTCAGTGAAATCTGAGAATGTTTTCCATTTTCCCCAGCTTCTCACGTTCAACCAGTCTGTGATTTTAGCATGCAGTAATTACTTCTTGCTCCAAAGATAATACAGTAAGTGCTGTCTAGATCTAGCCTGGAATCAGACTATATACAATATGACAAAGAAATACTTCAAAAGTATTAGAACAATATATCCAATGATATATGGAAGAAACCCTACCATTTATTACATTAAAATCATACCAGAAAAGTA